TTTCCAGTTCTTATATCGTTGAGTTTAGAGCGATCTGCACAACAAGTATACATAGAATCGCGGTTTTCATTTACATTCATATTTTACTGCACAATCCATATTAGTAACCCGGTAAATGTTCTAAGTTAACGGTTACAACTTCGTCCCACTATCTGCACCGCGTCATTTTTCATGGGTCCACCATCGGGTCTTATCCTTGACCTACGATTGTCCTGAACAAAACCACGTGTAACCTTTGCACTCTTTCTTGTCTACTTCGTTTGTTGAATCTTTCTTTCTTTACTTCCTGTGCGAACTGATTGCTACCACGTAGTTAATAAGATGACGTCACTTTAGAACTTATTCCTAGCTTCGCTCAGATTTGAACTTTATGATTATATCTTTTAGGATTGCTTAGCTGGATAACCTTAAAAGGTCCTGATTATTTATGTCGAGATTAAGTAATGGTCGGTATTGGAAAGTGTTTATGCTTATAATCGCTGTTGTTGTTCACTGCAAACTCCTAACATTCTGAACTGTTACGAATCCTGGGAGTTCTGAACAAACAGCACGCTTGGAAAAGGAATAACTTCTCAATCTCCTTTTTGACTGCATTCTGAGAGCTTTTGAAATTTCCAGCACTTTATATTTGGCATTTGCGATCTAATTTCTCATAAATGGCTCAAGAATTTTCATTTCTGGTCAAGAAAGGTCCAGATAATAAGACACGCTCCCTTCGTTACCACTTAGGGAGTACTGTACCCTACATGAGCGATTTCTTTAATAGCTGACTTTTCCTTGATAGTGGACTGTGCTAGTTAAATGAACACAATGACGTCGTTCAGAAATTTTTTGAAGACTATTTGCAAACTGTGAATCTTTTCCCGTCATGTGTACTGAAACCGGCATGACTTTGTACTTTGTACGGTAATGCTGTCCAATGTTCATTATTTTGGTAATATATTGTTAGATTTGGCTATATCTATGAGAAATTCGAAAGTACTCCTTGTTGGGATCCAAGGCGTGACGCCATCCACCTGCAGCGGTGAAAAGGGTGCTCATCGCTTCATCTACTATAACTAGAATTTAGATTCTCTGGTGAAGTAATTTGGAAAGCTGCCAGCCTTTTGAAAAGTTTGCTCAACATTTTGGCCCATACCATACGCTTACTTTGCGGTTGATATTGTGATTGTAAGGGCGCTTATGGCACAGTGGTTGGAGGCGCCTTGCAATGCACACATGGAATTTATCCGCGCGCCCATAGGCCTACTAAGTCTTCCAACTCTCCGGAGTCGGCAAACTGGTATCAGACTTGTCTGGGAGGATAGCAGCACTGGCTCGATACATCGCTAGGCCACCGCGAGTTATTGTAAAGGCTAGATATGCATTCGTTCACTTCCAGCGGTGCTCAATGTAGTCGAGTGCATGGCACATCGCTCAGGGATTGATGAACGCTGAGAGCTTTATCCCTTTTTTATTGTGATTATGTTGTAGTATGGATAAATAATAAATAAAAGGTAGGACTCTCGGCGTTGTCCAATTCCTGAAGGATGCGCCATGCATTCGACTTCACTAACCGTCGTTGGAGGTCATTGAATGCATATCTCACCATACAACGACTCGTTATGGCCCACCGATGTATCGAGTCAGTGCTACTATCCTCCCTATCCTTCCAGACAAGTCTGGTACTAATTTGCTGACCCTGGAGGGATGGAGGGTTTGGTGGGCCTGGGACGCGGGATAGATACGTGTGCATTGCGAACGTTTTGCTATACACGCCTATGGACTAAATAATATCGATTTATAGTAGTATAATATGGAATATAATATGGAATAAATAACACACCTTACATTCATGTGTCAAGCGCCAATCACCTCGCCACATGATTTCGAAATATCTAGAACTGTTACTGAACCGACTTCCCCTTAACCTCGGTGTGAATAATCAGCATATCTCTTTGAAATGTTCAACTTACACGAATTTGTTAGAGAAGTTTTATTCGGTTAACATTTCGTCGTTTGGTTCTGAAGAAGACGAAGACGTCGAAACGTTAATCGAATAAAGAATAAAACTTATAACAAATAATTCAAAAGACCGACTTTCTATAAACCTCGGCATAGATAGTTGATATATTTGTTTATATGGTCTTATAAACTGCTGTTCTTAAGCTGATGCGAGGCTGGTATAGGTCTTCGTTGTCGTTGTCGTTGTTGTTTTCATTGCTGTTGGTGTTTGTTGCTCGATGGCTGATTCGGCGATTTCGCCTTCCTCAGAGCCGTGTTGTTACGAGTGGGACTCAAGTGTTATAACAAATAACTTGGTGTAAGCTGAACAGTTCAAAGAGAAATGAAACCACAATGGTGCTGAGGTGGAGGTGTCCGCCGCGCCATGCAGGTCTTTCGTTTCACCTTTCTCTCAGCTAGTTTGCTTACCCTGCCGTGAAAAATTGTAGTAGCCAGTAAATAAAAAGTTGATATTGTAATTTCAGAGAGATCTAAAACTGTTTTTGTCTTTATCACTTAAGCGAGTGGGCAATATTGTCGTATTGTTAAATCGAACAGAAATTAATCCTGATTTCTAGAACAAAGTCTCATTTCTGCTGACCTGAAGTGTCTCACCGAAAAATATCAATTCATGGTAAACCTTGTCGATTTGGCAGCTGTTGGGTTTACTGAAGATTTGTTGTCGACGTATTTGACGTCTTGTCATCTGATCCTAAGAGATCCAGTTAGTTCACTGGATGAATTAAACCTTCGTAGCCCAATACACTCAGGCTTCGATAGTGATTTCTATGAGTTGTGCCCGAATGTCATCATCATCACCGTTTAGAATACTTTACACTCTTCATTGAAAGAAGCTAATCGCTAGGCATACCGGTTGTAATGGTCTCATCAGGAATTCCAACTTTACACTTTACAGTAGGTGCACACAACCAAGGAGTGATCGAAATGAACGTCATATAGAGATGTTGCAGTTCTTTTAGTTATTTTATAAAGTATCTACCGTTTTCATGTACATCCTTTTGCTTTTTTAATTCTAAAGTGTAAAAACTGAGGGCGAAGAAGTTCCAATAATGATGCTAAGATAATCACAATCTTAATCGTTTTATTTACTGCCTACCCTTTTTTAATGGCAAGGTATATTGCGAAATATAACTTCAATGAACCTGAGAAATTGGCAAAACTCCGGACCGCAGATGTCTGCGGTGGGGAACGAACGTGCTATTGTCCTTTCCGAGGAGTAGCGCGTTCACCACCACACCTTGCGGATCCTTCGTTTCATCACGCTCTGATCAATCCCACTGACGGGTGATTGCTGACGGCAAAAGTACGATAGAACTAGCGAAGACACAGGTGAAATGGAGGATCCGCATGGTGTGGTGGTGAACGCGCTACTCCCCGGAAAGGACAATAGCACGTTCGTTCCCCACCGCAGACATCTGCGGTCCAGAGTTTTGCCAATTTCTCAGCTTCATTGAAGTTATATTTCGCAATATACCCTGCGGTTAAGAAAGAGTAGGCCGTAAATAAAACGATTAAAATTGTGATTATAATTAAAGCATCTGCTTAACTGGGTTCGTTGCCGATTTGGGCTCCCCAGATCAATCCTGTTGACGACTGATTGCTGACGGCAAAAGATCGATAGAATTAGCTGAGAGACAGGCAAAACGAAGGGCCCGCATGGTGTGTTGGTGAACGCATTACTCCCCGGAAAGGACAATAGCGCGTTCGCTCCCCGCCGCAGACACCTGCGATCCGGAGTTTTGCCAGTATCTCAGCTTCATTGGTGCTGAGATATTTACAAAACTGCGAACCGCAAGCGCCTGCGGTAGGGAACGGACGCGCTATTATCCTTTGCGAGGACTAACGCATTCACCACCACACCATGCGGGTCCTTCGTTTCGCCTATCTCTCACCTAAGAGCTTCCCACCTCTTCTGTGGTTGTCATCTGATTCCTAGTGAATCGGTCTCAGTGCTTCTATCAGCCCTTAATCTGGACTCGATGTTCGTTCTCGTAAATCACTGCTCTATAAACGCCTGATAAAAGTGCATACCGGAGAATCACAAATGTTCTAACTCATCTTCAAACAATACGTCACGGTTGGCAACGACTCCACGGTTTTTATGAACAACTACCTTATCGAAGTGCTTAGAACTACTTTACTTACTGGCACATCTCGTAATCCCCACGACCGACTTTCTATTAACCTCAGTATTGATCCAATAACTCTTTATACTCTTGTGAAGCAATCACGAGGTGTTACTTCATTCTTTATTGACGAAAAAGCTGATATTTCGGCCGATTTCGCCTTTCTTAGAGCCTGGAAAGGTCAAGTTGGCCGCAATCTAACGAGCTAAACACCTCCATAACACCTGGCTTGCTCAACAAGTGTATAAAGTACCACTTTACTTACCTTGCCTTTACTTACTATCATTTCGTTTCTGGTAGGCAGTTCCCACTGTAAAATGAAGAGGATTTCTTATCGCTATGGCAGCTTAGTGTCGCGGTTTCGTCGTCGATCGGTGATCCATAGCAGTTCTTCATCCAGGGTCGTGATTGTGCTCCTGCGGTGATCCCCTGTGAGTAGGTTTGTTTCAACTGTCAAGTGTACCGTTTCTAACAATCTGCTCGGGACCTCTGCCATGTCTTTGTGCCGTTTGATCCGCAGCAATCAACTGCATTCATTATCCGTTGGATTTTGCTTCCATGCTGCGAAAAATATATTCCGCCTTGTATGGTTGAGACGTAAGACGCTTTTTTCTTTCTTTCTTGGCTTAAGGGTCCGTCTCTTTTCGTTTATTATAGTAAAGGAAAAAACCCGCGTTTCTTTTCTTCTTCTTTTTCTTACCTTATGTTTTTTTTTCAATTTTTATGAAGGTTTTCTTGCCCATTAACTTGAAACCGAATACTTATTTCGACTTTATTTCAGACAGACCCTACATTTTAAGCTCTCCCAATCATCGGCAGTATACACCTACAAGAAAGTTCCACACCACAGGTGATCGCTCGTCTAGAGCGATGTGCAAACCTCCATCGGTGGGTTTTGTAAAGAAAATCTACAACTCCTAAGGCTCTTCTACCCATTTGAGCCGCTTTGAATTAGAAATAGAAGTGTTTTATTGTGTTCTTCGGACGAGTTTTCATTAGTCATTATTATTCTGGAGCAATGAAACCCTGAAAATCAATCCGGTGTATTCGTTTTTCCATTGTTTTGGGCATAGTGTCCATCGAGGAGAGAGAGTCTCATTTTTGCTGTCGCTTTTTCCAGTGTAAATTATATGATTAAGAAACATTTGACTCTAATATTTTTTCTTACCTTTGTTCGTTCAGATACTGGTCTACACGGGGGGACAAAATGAGTTGTACGCTAGGATAAGGGACTCTCTGTCACGACTCATACCGGCCGATCGCTACACCGTTTTCCATCTGTCACCCGAAGCAATGAAAAAGCAGCCATGGATGGAGCCCACAACAGTACTTTTTCATTTATTTTTCTTCTTTCCCGATTCCTCCAATTGTTTACCTGTTTATAGGCATGCCTAGTCGTTGCGGATACTTCAGATTTAGATGACCAGTCGTGGTCGAATATGCAGTTGTATTTTAACCAAGTAAGTTTTCCAACTCCCTTTTACTTTTCAATAGGTTTTATGCCATTAGTGTTCTATTTGTTAGGCTGGAAAAATTATTTTTGTGTGCCAAAATCGTCTTCTTGCTAGCTTAACTCACTGTGACTCTTCTAAGAAACAGGCCTGTTTCTTTTTTCTTATTTTTTTTTCTTCATTCTTCTTCGTTCTTTTCTATGCATTGCCAAGTATTGATGTTGTGTGTATCTTCAGCATTCCTTTCCAGTTTAGGCTAATATGATCCGGATGGCGTTTGGATCTCGTGATTCCATATCGATGGGGAAGGATTTTGAGCATTTTCTTAAGAAATCTCTAAAGACACTATCTAAACATGGCGAGGTAGACCTACATATTCTGAGCTATTTAGAAAACTCCTTCCTTAGTTGTGAGAAGACCTTTAGTTTCAGATTAACACAAAGTTCCATTCTAAGGATTTTGCTGGTGCGATGAGCTACTCGGTTGTATTGAGCAAGGTCAAAGGTCAGATATCGCAAAACTATTTTACCCTCGTGAGGTTATTTTATTCCCATCAAGAGAGCACTTTCAGACATGCCTCTTTTTCTCTACATGGAAAACAGTGCTCATCAGGCGTCGGCTATTTTTTCCGATGCAACGTCTGAGCAGCTTTTATCCCCAGGTTTGTTCTTTACAGTCTTCCTTTCGTAGTCAAGTTACTTTTGTCCTGTAGACGATGTTTGGGAAAAGTAGCCAAGTCAGGTAACGTGAAAAATTGCCAGTTTTTGTTAGTCATTGTTTGAGTTTAATCTTTTTCTACAGTTAAACGACAGATGTACAACTGTAGTGAGATTTTTTCCTTACGTTTTGCTATTTCTTTTTTCGTTAAGGTATTAAAATATTACCCGAAGCGCTATCACGGGTTGGTGTTGAGGTTGTTGAATGCACTCCTCTAGCACTTACACAGGCGGTGATGACGGCGAGTGAAGACCCAATCATTGAAAACATGATGGTGTGTCGTTTGTCTCACGAGTTGTCTTAAATGTTATTTGTTATAAGTATAGAAAACTGTTAAGGGTGTGCGCTACGGGGAGGAAATCGGCCAAACACCAAAGCTTTTCTTTAGAAAGACGGAAAGGGCTGTTGAACAAGGAATGCCGGAAGTGAGCGAGAAGTTGCTGCCTGTGGAAGTGTTGTCTAGGTATTATGATGATTTCCATTCAATCCGTCTTCACCACTAGTCATTTTCATCGTAGAATGTTTCGTTTTCTTTTCGCTGTAACGATATAAAGCTATAGAAATTCGGATCATCCGGATATTGGATTCGACTTCTCATTGTACTTCACACGTCTTCAAACGAGGCAACTGGGACATGTTATTGTTTATGTTCCTGTTGCCACTACGACTATGGATATTAATGAAAGGTGTATTACTTAGATAACGAATGTATGTTGAATTTATGCAAGCATTTTTAGTCTATGTGATGCGATTCCCACTTGTCAAGGTGCTGTTGTAGTTGCTCGTCGTCAGGTTAGTGGAAAAGGTACGCTCTTCTTACTATCTTGTTGCCTCTTTGTTTCTTTCACAAATCATTTTTCATTTTGTGTAATTGTGATGATAGTGTTAACCTTTTTGTTTGCTGCCTACTATAATCTCCAGATCAATTCCACTAACCGGTGGTTACTGATGGCAGCGTTAGGTAGAAAACTAGTTGAGAGAAACGCAGAGCAAAGGCTTTCGTGGCGCAATGTGTAATACGTGAGTCCCTGGAAAGGGTAATCGTGGTTCGATCTGGCCTGGGGTCCAAGTTTTCCAATAATCTCAGCATCATTCTGGTTTTGATGATAGTTATAGTTTGCGATATGTTACATTTAGGTCGTGGTGGAAACGAGTTTCTCTCTCCACTTGGTGCAGCAATGTTCACATTTTCTACATATATACCTCAATCTTCTTCCCTAGCTCGGACACCATCATTCATACAACATATATTCGCCGTCGCCGTTGTTGATGCCGTACATCGGCTGAGCGGCCTTGATGTAAGCGTTTTCGCCTAATTTTTTTTGAATCCATTCACAGTCTTCTAACAGTCACTTTGAAGGGTTTTAGAAAGATGAGACAGAGGATTAGTAACCTTCTTTACCACTACTCACTCAGATACATCACTAATTGTGCGGGCCCCAGCGTAATTTCCATATTTTCGGAGTTTTGCTCGTTTAGCCACTGTGCTTCCATGGAGTTCCGAGGTCAGCCCAGCCATAGTTTGCCCTAGGTCGTCACCACCACAGATAGTCGCCTTCCTTGTGAATCAGAGGGAGATTTGCCACTATGCGACTAGTTTGATATCAAGACGGTGGTGTATCCTGGTAAAAATTTACTCTTAGCTGGGGTTCTTGATGGAAATGCCGGACTCCTTCTCAGCTTAGGAGGCCCTGCTGGTGGAATGAGTGAACTTTCCTGCTGTTCATCGCAGCCTGACATCCAGGAACACGTCGCAGCCACAATGAGGCGGTAAACCGTTGGGAGGTCCTTACCATTTATATAATAAAAAGGGAAGGCGGCTTACTTGGTTTGTGAATGAGATTAAGCTGTTGTGCTTCGTAGACCCGTTAGAAATCTGTAGAGTTAACAGAATAGGGCTATGTATTGGACGCAAGAATTCGACATAGTCGTAATCAGTGTTATTTTAGGACTTTCCTTTGCGAATTAAATGGCCGAACGATTTCTATTTTAATCGCTCACACAAAGTAGGCGGTCTTTTGGCCACTGCGAAAGTTCGCGATGATGGACTATTAATATCAATTGGTATGTATATGATAATAGTTTAATGATTTTTAATGAATGAATGATAATGGTTTTCTTTGCAGTGGTTTTTCCAAAGAACTTTTAGGTGCTGGAATCAATGTCGCCAACTCACGGCCAACAGTTTGCTTGAACGATATGGTTCCAGATGGTAGTTCTACCAAATTCTCAGTAGAGGAAGTGATTGCTGAAACGCTGAACTGTTTCGAATGTAAGTCTCATATCTTTAGATAATCACTTCCTCAGTTGCGATGGTTTTATGAGAATGGCATACGTTTTGCAGATTGGCTGAATATGTGTGAAATCAAAGGTCAAGCTGAAGTGCTCAAAACGTATTATAGATTTTGGCTTCATAGGTAAGGAGAGGGCATCAATGAGATGATTTGTCTTTCATTACCATTGTGCGTTAGTTCATTTTTCGAGGTTTTCCCATCTTTACGTGTTTCTATGTTTTCTGTAGGATGAAATTCTGCATAGAGGATGCAGTGGTCTGTTTGCTTGTGTGATTTTGTTACAACGCCAAAGTCAAGTAGACGAACTCTGCTTAATAATAATGTGGTCGCTTCCATCACAGCACTTCCCTCAATGGAGATACCCAAGTCTAACATCGGAGTCAGTACTTTCCGAATTGTGGTAAAAGATACATAAGTAGGTTTGTTTTTATGAACCATCTTTGATGATCTGGCAGGAGATTGTTAACCCATATCGTTCATTTTCGATGGCTAGCGTTTTGACCTCTCACTCTCTTCGGAGCATGGAGGCATTGTTGTACAGCCTTATTCTGTAAATAGTGTTCTGCAACCTTTGCAAAAACTCAGTGCACAAATTTTAACTTATTATTTACTGCCTACTCTTTTTAGCGGCAGGGTATATTGGGAAATATAACTTCAATGATACTGAGATATTCGCAAAACTCCGGACCGCAGGTGTATGCGGTGGGGAACAAACGCGCTATTGTCCTTCGGGGACGGCTTAATTGGATTCGTTGCCGATTTGGGCCCCCCAGATCAATCCCGCTGACTGGTGATTGCTGATGGTAAAAGATCGATAGAAGTAGTTGAGAGACAGGCGAAACGAAGGACCCGTATGGTGTGGTGGTGAACGCGATACTCCCCGTCTTCTGTTTTTTTTTTTAATATTTTCTATTCTTTTCCCATTATATGAGCTCGGAAATGGTTTCCATTTGACATCGAACAGCCTCCATTACGTAGGCGCTATTCATACGTTCACAAGGTAAATGGTAGGGGACATTTATCTATATATAATGAACGTACGTTATTGGTTACACTTAGGACACAGGCACAGTGGTGGTGGTTTCGAAACCAAAGTCATAATCATAGCGCAGGAATTTAAAAATCTATCACCTAAAATTCTTGAGGTGTTTTGTATAGATTGCTGATGGCAAAAAGATCGATAGAACTGGCTGAGAGGCAAGCAAAACGAAGGACACGGATGGTGTGGTGGTGAAGTGCGCTACTCCCCGGTAAGGACAACAGCGCGTGTTCGTTCCCCACCGCATACACCTGTGGTCCGGAGTTTTGCAAATATCTCAGCATTATATACAAGTTTTGTATAGATTTTAAAGATCTCGATATCATACGTGTTTACCAGATTATTTTTTTTTTATTTCTGTGATCTGAGTGGGTTTCAGTTGTCATCCTTTGTGAACAACACATGAGCGATCCCAAATTTTAGAAACGTAAACAACAGCGGTCTTTTTTAGCTAATTGCTTTCTGGAAGTTTGTGCGTTGACTTCTTATTAAGATTGTGTTGTGCCATTGAAAACGGAAAACATGTGGTAACCGTTTTGTGTCAGATCATCAAAGACAGTTGTTAAGAATAAATTCGTTTTTCTAGTGCTAAGGTTAATTGGAATTCAGGCCTTCGAATTTTTACCTATGGATAATTTTGCTTCCCATGGTGAGCTGGGGAGCAGATGATGACACAGGCATATTCTTGAAAGTATTCTGAGTACATAGAAGTACCCTGATGTCATTTCTGTCATTGCCCAATTTTGACGCAGATGTGAATAATGTCGAAATCGATACTAGGGAAACCTAATGACATGTTTTCGACCGTGAAACGCAATTCAGATTACTGTTAATTCAAATGAATCCATATTCATCACCAAATTTGTGTTCACGAGGTCATTAAGTCCATGAGCCCCTCTACTGTCTGATGTGTCGAAGGTCTCTTCAGGTCAATCCGATAACATATGTGGTTTTCTCAGGCTGCTTATCACAGCTCAAAAGCCTCCAGTGCTAGCAAATGTGCATTGTGATTACTCTACAGTCCGTGGGAATGTAATCAGCGCTTCTTTCCCGTTAAAGAGATGAGATCTTTTGCCTTACATGTCTTTGGCTAGAGATACTTCGGGATACCTTATTTTACTCTGTTACAATGAACGTGGAGTTTAGCAGAAGAACGACCCGATGGACCACTGATATACTTCCAAGTCATTTATGCTTTCAACTGAATTGAAAGAGAAGATGGAATTTACGAATATGCATGTATTATACATGCACGCATAACCGTATGATGCACGTATATATAGGACTTATAGTCAGTCTCGCGCAGAGACACCTAATCCGTTCCTTGGATCCATCTGCCTCTCAGAGCAAGCACAGGATTGCCTTTAAATCCTTTTATTCGATAACCAAGTCTGGTATACTTCATGAAATATCGGAGAGGATCGTCGTAGCTACCCTTTCGAAATGTTGCATATTGTGGAAACAAGTAGAACAAAGCGTCATTCATCGTCGTACTGAAAGATTTGATAAACGGGGTTTGAGAACGCGATGCCATCGTGTCAACAATATTTACAGTCACTTTCTAGGACATCATACACAATTCTAAATGAAGTAATATCGGAATGAAAGTCGGTGGACAACAACTACATCATTTTCGTTTTACTGAAGATATCTGTTTTAAAAAACCTATTATTACCTAAGCGCAACGAATGCTGCCCGATTTCGAGAGGGCCTGTGAAGAAATTGATCGTCGATTTAATGTGGAAAAACGACGACGTCCTTGCGAAATTCCTCCTTTTATGGCGGTTATTCATGCGTAAAAGAAAGAATATCTCCGGTTACTTTAGCAGTGTATAATAAGTTGAATAAGTCAACGCGAAGAGAGGAGACACAGCTGGGCAGCTGAAAACCTGTGGCCTGACGAGCTCGTTTGAGCATTGATGAGGCAGTGGATAATGTCAAAAACATTAGGCTCCTCGCTCAGTCCTTCTATTTCTTTCTATTTTAGCGTATTTTGCCTTAATCACATAAAGCGGTAAATGCGCCACCAATACTGTGATGTAGAAGAAAGCGTATACTTAGATCGTGACATTTCACTCGACGATGTACGAGTCAAATGAACAAGTCATTTCATGGTTTTCACTGTAACCATTGGAGAAAAGTAGACAAAAACTCTGAGTGAAATATTATGTTCGGATTTCTCAAATGAGCGGAATCGATTGGGCAAGTGCGGCACTTTAAATGAAACCGGGATACCGGCAATCAGTAGTATTTGTTCGAATCATTCAATGAATGGTCGGAGTCCAGACTGTTGTGCCTTTCAGTTCCTCCTTGTCAGTTATCAGCTACTGATTTTTTAAGATAAATTTATGCGACGTTTTGTCCTTATTTGGTATTCGTTCGTCAACAGTACGATCCATAGCAATGTCTAGTAATCAACTATACTCTTTCAACCACAACGTTGCTGAGATATTTGCAAAACTCTGGACCGCAGGTGTCTATGGTGGGGAACGAACGCGCTATTATCCTTTCCGGGGAGTAACGCGTTCACCACCACACCATGCGGGTCCTTTGTTTCGCACGTCTCTCAGCTATTTCTATCGATCTTTTTGCCACAGCAATCACCCGTCAGCGGGGTTGATCTGGGGAGCGCAAATCGGCATAGAACCCAGTTAAGCTATGGCTGTAGTTGAAATCACAATGTTTAACGTTTTGTTTGAGAGACGTGCGAAACAAAGGACCCGCATGGTGTGGTGGTGAACGCGTTACTCCCCGGAAAGGATAATAGCGCGTTCGTTCCCTACCATAGACATCTGCGGTCCAGAGTTTTGCAAATATCTCAGCAACGTTGTGGTTGTACTTCGCTTAGTAACCTGCCATGAAAATTATAGAAGGCAGAAAACAAAACGTTAAACATTATACTCTTTCAGTCGAGAAGAGGTAACGATCGAGCATTTGTCGGAGAAGGTAGTAATCCGTGGGTTGGATAAACATGGCTTTCTTCAAGTGCGTAGTAAAAGTAATCCTAGTCAGGTAACTACATCTTTTTAAACTCTTACTAGTCCCGTTACATTGTTTCAATAAATTCCATATAGTTATTGTAATGGTAGGTGATATTTTCTGAAATCCTGAGAAACGTATGGTGAAACTATTGTTGAGTAAGAATGTTTCAGGTATTTTCTCTTAGTGACAATGGAAACACATTTGACATGATGAAAGGACTTATTCGATACAAAATACGATGACAGCCGACGTAGTGTTGTTTATGTGGTTCTATTTCCAGCGTCTAGTTCTTTCGAAGCTCAATAATTTATATTCAGTTGATTTCTCATACAAATATACTGGTCAAGATCGATTCCAGTGGTTAAGCATAATATGTTCAATATTCGTACGTGTTACCATATAGTACTAGAGCTTTTAAGGATTTGTTCAAAAAAGAATTCAATAAATCGTTTAACATCAAAATCCAGGTACAGGACCTGCATTAATCACATTCATTAGAGACGATCCGTGCTTTGATAGAAATAGAATCGCCTTTAGCTCTTTTACTACGCGATCTACCTAAAAGTGCCATAAATTAGTTGAAATATTGCGAGCAATGAGAGCGATGTATTGGATTACTAACCAGTGATGACTGCCTGCTTACAGCTTTGTTACTAGTATGTTTATACTTGGAGACTTACATGACACGTCTCACTGGCTGTGCGGGCTGCAGCATAATTTCCACTTTTTCGGAGTTTTGCTGGTTTAGCCATTGTGGTTCCCTGGAGTCCCGTGGATTGCCTGGTCAAAGTCTGCCCCAGGTCGTCACAGCCACAGGCAATCGCAGCTCTTGTGGATCAGAGCGATATTTTCCACAATGCGACAAGTTTGATACCAGGACGGTGGTGGATCCTAGTATTAGTTTACTCTTAGCGTTGCTTCCTGATCGAACCACCGGACTCCGCTTGGGAGACCCTGTTTGGGGGATGAATCTCTCCGCTGCACATCGCAGCCCGACGAGCAGGAACACCTCCCAGCCACAATGAACCAGTAGACCGTCGGGAGGAATACATTTATTAATTGACCAAATAACATAGTTCGTGCTACGTAGGTACCACTGACTCACAAAAGAGCCACGGTTACGCGCTTTTCATTTTTTGTTGATATAAAGTAAGGGCTAAGGAGTGAGACGTCACTTACATCTTCTTTTGTAGTCTCTCTGCCGAAACTGAATCGTATCGTGCGTTTCGCAGTCTGCCGTTGTATTCCACATGCTAGTAGAACTGGGCTAAATTGATGACTTTAATTTGAGGTGGAATGATGCAACAGAAGGGGTGTCATTGTACGAGATAAGTTGTTCGTTAAGAGACATAGAAACTCTGAACTGATTAGGGCAGGTGTATTTCTGTGAGCAGTGTTTGCTGTTCATTTCTAACATAAATTAGCGAGTTGTTAACAATAAATATATTGTTGGTATCGAAATTCGACCTTTTCATGAAGAATATGAACTACAGCCCCATGACTCGTGATATTTCGGCCGCGACTGGTGTAGTGATGAGGTCATCTTGCACTGTATGAGATCCAGTAGAAAACTGTTTAGGAAGTTTGTATAATGTTTTTGTAGAGATTTAGCAATTAACAACAATGACTGATAATAATAGTAGTAAGAAATAACGTTTCAAAACCGTCTGCTATTCAACCTCATTAGGACTGATCGAGCTCTTGGTCGAGTAATATGCTTACACTAAATATCGTCCATTTGATCGTGGAGTGACTTGGGCAGGCACGGCCCAATAAACTTCCCATTTCTCCTTGTCGCGTGCAAGAGTTGTCCAATAGGTTCTGTTCGTTCCTGAGAGTCGTTGAGCACTACATCTTTTCTCACGGATTTTCGTGAAGAAGTTTCACCAACAGATGTTTGGTCTTCCTGCGGTACGTTTGAAGTCCCGGGGGATTCGGTTACTAGCGACTCTTGTCCATCGGATGTCGTTCCATTACGTGTCCTGCCCACCTTATACTCCACCACTTGGCTTGTTGAACAGCGTCTTTGACTTTTGACCGTTGAAGTAGGCTGGAGCTTCGGATCCCTTCCCTTACTTGTGTGACATGAAATACTCGTTGCATTGTCCTTTCGACTGCGTGTCCAATAACGCTGAGTGGTCTTTCATGTTGCTTATGCTGCGGACAGCTTTTTGACGCCTTTGTTTGGATGGGAAGAATGATGGAGTCGAGAAAGTGGGCAAGGAGTCGGCTGTTTCTTGTCCTCTTCATTACATCCTCGATGCTCTTGAAAACTCCCCAAACCGCTTTTTTCCTCCTGCTCAACTCTGGGGTTAAGTCGTTCATCACGTTGATTTCGCAACTTAGACGTAGATGGTCACTCATTGTTCAACCTTCAGTGATCGCAAGGTTTTGGCCGAAATGACTTATAGAATACAATCCGCATAAACGAGAACGCGCCCACACACGCATGCATGAATACGCCTCTTAAATACAGAAAGTATGTGCCAAATCGGCGCAGCAGAAAGAGGTAGTCCATCTCCTGGATTCGCTTGCGTATCAGATAAGCATGAGGTCGCTTTTGGACAGCTATTAACCCCTATCCGCCACCTGGGTGGTCACCACGTCGCCTCGTAACTAACCGATACGAAATTTCTCTGCGAGGGAGTGGTGATCAAACTTACATAAGCTTAGAAAATTAGTATACTCACCTAACGCTTTCAGAATGGCAGGCAGCTCCAGAGCTCGCGTAGAATGTCTTGCACCTATAAGATGTCAAAACAGTTGCGAAATTGGGAAATGGGAAAAGCTAGATAAAAAAGCTCTTGGCGTTGATCAATCCCTGAGGAATGTGCCATGCATTCAAATTCAATGTCGTTGGAGGTGACTGAATGCATATTTGGCCTTTACAATGAATGACTCGCAGTGGCCTACCGATGTATCAAGCCAGTGCTGCTATCCTCCCAGACAAGTCTGGTACCAATTTGTCGGCCCCGGAGGGATGGAAGGCTTGGTAGGCCAACGGCGCGGGGATCGATTCCACGTGTGTGTCACAGTATCCCTCCAACCACTGCGCCACACGCGCCCTGGTAAATAGGAAATAAGTTCGAAATTCTATCTCATATAGGGACATAGAAACGGGGTTCAGGTGTTCAGGTGGTCAATACCAAGCATACGTTGAATTACACAGGATTTTAGAAATTTGACAATGGAAAGAAGATTGCAAATGATCTTTGACTTTAGCACCAATGAAGATCTCTGCATTGTACCATCTACGAACAGACTTTATCTGTATACTGATGGTATTTACCATATGTCACAATGATACAAGGTCATTTGGATTAATTGACATTCGAACGAAATCGCCAAACATTAGCTAAATCAACTTCTTTTGTCAACATCCTAAACCACAGAACGACTAAAAATTTCCCCTCTAAATGGATTTTCTGGAATTATTAGGCTACGACTAACGAATTGGTTCTACCTTATGCAGCCTGAAATTCCATTATATTTTTACAAATATGGATTTCTCAATAAAAGCTAATGATGATTTCGTCCGAATTTTGTTTAGTTAATAAGGATATGCCCATATGGATCAAAAATTGAAGAACCATTGCTCCCCAGATCATTCCTGTTGATGGGTGATTGCTAATGGCACTGTTAGCATAAAAAATTGACTCAGAGGAAGGCAAAGTAAGAGCATCAGTGGTGCAGCAAATAACATGTGAACCACCGGAAAGAGTTCGAATCCTGCTTGAGGTCCAAGTTATGCAAATATCTCAGCATTATAGTAGTTCTATTCCACATCATTTTCTGCCCTCAAAAATGGTGGTAGGCAGTAAACAAAAAGTTAACATGAAGACCTATACTTCTGATAAATGATGACTATAAAACCTAAACTACCGTAACCAGACGTTGCAACAGACCGGGTTCTGTGAAAGCGCTTTTTTTTACTACGAGTACAAATCATGATGATAATGTGTGAACCTACTTTGCCATTAGGTGCTTGCTTGATTCGGGATATTTCGGGAATGCCACAGAACTTGTGTTCGGCAATCGAGGTGAAGAAGCAAAGTTCACCACATGTTGTTCTGGTAAATGTTGCTGCAAATACTTATCTTGTGATCTGTAAGTAAGTCTGTAAGTTCTTGTGATAGGAATGGTTCTTCAAATGGAACGTACGAAATAATTCGAGAGACTACAGATTATGATGTCGACTTTGGAAGGAATCAAGGATACTTCCTCAGAAAGGAGTTTCTTAACTAATAAATCCAGGCATACCGCTTCAAAAGAATACTGAACAAACGGTTCATTTCGTCTTAAACCTGTTTTTGTTTCGGGCAGACAATAACAGAAGGCAACCATCTTAGACAAAGGGACTGTCACATAATAGATGGAAAAGTATGAAATGGCGAAAAGAGGATGGAAGGAAAAGGTAACTCCAGTAGAAACCTCGCCTCAAGCTGCTTCTCGAAGTAGTCTCGAACCGAACGGAGATGCTCTTCAGTTTTGTGAAGATCACAAGCGTCAGCAGCTGCTCCCAAACCCATGATCATCGGTGTGTTTTCCGTGCTGTAGTTTATTTCTATACAATTATATTACTTAGTATAGTAGTATAAGTATTGCTAGCATACAGTATCCATTTCCGGTATAAACAACAAAACCAATTACTGAGTAGAAAACAGACGATTAACGAACCCAGATCTCAGATTCCCCTGTTGTCCACCACCTCGTAACATTGGCGTGAGCTGTGTGGCGTACTTTGATCTCGTCACAAGGGCTCCATTTCGAGGGCCGTAAAACTAGAATAAAACAAAAATGTCCTCTTTCTATATGAGAACAATCTCCATATGCACTTCGTTTAAGCCAACACATAGGAGAATATTGTGGTGTAATAAAAAAAAAAATCGAGCACTTAACGTTACTCAATCCGTAACGACGAGCTCGACTTTTCGATTTCATCAAGCATCGTAAAGGAGAACGAATGTATATCTGGCGCATAGAAAAACTTTAGGGGGCCTATTGATCAATTAAGTTGGGGTTCCTTTTATCTCGCCAAACAAGTATGCTACCAATTTGTGGTTCCCAGAGATATGGAGAACTTGGTTTACCTAGAGCGGTGGTCTGAACGGCAACCAGATTGCAATAACCTAGCCAATCACACAAATTCTTTTCTCTCCGTATTTAGTAATTAGTAAATATCCCCACTATTTTTCCATTCTTATGGTGTACGTTCTATAATTACAAAGCTTTTTCACAGCAGGTTGGCTTGAAGATACAAAGTCATTCAGAAACAAATTAGAGATCCCCATGACCGACTTTCTGTTAACCTCGGCATTAATTGATAATTCAATGTTTTTCATCAATAAGCAGACACGAGGTTGTTAATATAGAATTTATTAGAACACAATTGCTGACGTTTCGGCGGTTTCGCCTTCTTCAGAGCCTGGAAAGGTCAAATTGAGATGCGATCTACTCAGCCAAACACTTTCATAACGCGCATCTACTGAAAAGGAATTCAGAAGTCAAAATCGAAAACTGAACAGCGAATGGGTCAAAACGGCAAGCGCAGCAGG